ACTGATCCAACTAATACACTTTGTAGATCTCAACTCAACGTAGTCACCACTCCAGAATAATAGCTGTACACAAACACAAATTTTAATTTCTAGGTAGAAAGAAATTTTAGCTGGATCATCCATTAATAACAAAATGCTAGAACATAAATAGTAGAGCAATGATCACTATTCAAATTCAAATAAATCTATCTATATATATATATATATAATTGAGGGGCATAAGTCAGGTGACGTGGCAAGCCTCAATGATCAAAATTCTTTTTATCTTTTTCCTCAATTTTTTACGCTTTATCCTATTTTTTCCCATTAATTAACTATTAACCACCGAATGGTTAACTTTGAGAAACGCAAACGTTTCGTTTTCCTTCGTTGGTAGTCGTAGCTTTACCAAACAGTTTCTTCTTGATGATGGCAATTCCTAACGCTGCTATCTATCCTCTCTCTTTCATGGTAAAAGAGTGTAATGTACTAGAATTATAGAGAATTTAAAGACAGAACTGAAGTATTTTATTGATATATGTATCCAATTACACTCAAAGGGTACAATAGAATGTAATCTACAGCTAACTAATGAGCTCTAATCAGCTGCTCCAATGGTGAATACCAGAATCATCCCTTGTAACTGCTCCCCTCCATTCTGTTATTTATTGTTTGACTAGTAACTAAATTGTAATTGGGCTACTGAATTGTAATTGGGTTGTGGTTTAATAAGAACTGTTGATTCTTCTACTTGGGCCTGTGATATACGAGTAAGGCCCAATACTGACTAAACCAATATAGGCTTCTTCTCTTCTTCGTATCTTCCCTAATTCATTTCTAGATTGTTCCGCCGCCTCAGACATAACATTCTCCACCCCTTCAAGACAGACCTTGTCCTTAAGGTCTCTGTTGTGCCACAAACTCAGGAAAACGATGTTTAATGTAGCCCCAATCTTCCCATGATGCTTCTTCCTTGCCTAGGTTAGCCCATTGAATCAACACCTTCACTTGAACCCCATTATCGACCTTGACCATCCTCCTCTCCAAGATAGCAATTGGTTGGATCAAGACTCGACCTTCATCATCACAAGTGGGAGGCTGTAGCTGAGATGTCACTGCTGGACCTATCCGCTTCTTCAACTGAGACACATGGAAGACGGGATGAAGCTGAGATCCACTTGGGAGGTCCAGCCGGTAAGCCACTGTACCAATCTTCTGTAGAACCTTGTAGGGACCATAATAGCGAGCACTTAACTTCACATTTTTGCGAACATCAATTGAAGATTGTCTGTAAGGCTGTAGCTTAAGGTACACTAGATCCCCTACTGTCAAAGACCTTTCTGACCTTAGTTGGTCTGCATAAAACTTCATCCTAGACTGAGCTTGAATGAGATTATCTTTGAGAATTTGTAGCATGTGCTGCCTCTGTGTTAAAGTGTCTGTTGCTGAGTTGTGACCACGCTGGGGTAGGGACCCCAATGGTAATTGAGTCGGAGGGTGTCCATATAGTTCCTCAAATGGTGTCGTCTTGATAGAAGTGTGGTAATTAGTATTGTACCACCACTCTGCAAGATGCAGCCATTTAGCCCACTGTTTAGGGTTGCCAAACACCATAGATCGCAAATAAGTCTCTAAGCACCTGTTGAGTCGCTCAGTCTGACCATCGGACTGTGGGTGATAGGCAGAACTCATGTTGAGTTTAGTGCCTAAAGCCTTGAAGAGATACTGCCAGAAATGGCTAGTGAAAATGGCATCTCTATCAGAGACAATAGTCTTGGGAAGCCCATGTAATCTGTATATCTCTCTCATAAACAATTCTGCTACATCTTGAGCTGAATATGGGTGTTTGATAGCTAGGAAGTGCCCATATTTTGTTAGCCTGTCTATAACCACCAATACAGCATTCTTCTGCCCAGAATTGGGTAAACCTTCAATAAAGTCAAGAGATATATCCTGTCAAGCCTGATCAGGAATAGGTAAGGGTTGGAGTAACCCTGGATAATGGTTGTGCTCATTCTTAATCCTTTGACAGATATCACACTCGCTGACCCACTTAAAGGTTTCTGATTTCATGTTTGGCCAATAGAACATTGATTGCACTCTTCTGTAAGTTCCTTGTTGACCTGAGTGTCCCCCTAAGGATGATTGATGTAAGGCCTCCAGTATCTATTGCTTCAACTCCTTATTCTGCCCCACATAGATCTTTTGTTTGAATCCGATGATTCCTTGGTGTAGTGAGTAATCAGCTTTGCTGTTGGGACTGACCACTAACTCACTTAAAATCTGTAGAGCTATGGGATCATTCTCATAACTCTGAGAAACCTCGTGTAACCAAGTGGCCTGGGCTGTAGATATAGCTAGTAAAGTAGAGTCTTCTTCTTGCCTTCTTGAAAGAGCATCTGCAGCCTTGTTCTCCACACCCTTTTTGTATTGAACCTCATAATCCAGTCCTAACAATTTAGTTAGCCCTTTCTGCTGCAAGGCTGTAATCACTTTTTGCTCTAGTAGGTACTTAAGACTCTGATGACCTGTTTTGACAATGAAGTGGCCTCCTTGTAAGTAATGCCTCCATTTGTCTATGGCTGAAAGTACAACTAGGTACTCCTTTTCATAAGTAGAAAGTACCCTATATTTCAAGGCTAAAGCCTTACTGAAATAGGCTATAGGTCTGCCCGCTTGCATGAGTACAGCTCCCATACCTGTTGCACATGCATCAGTTTCAATAATGAAAGGTTTGTTAAAATCAGCAAGAGCCAACACTGGTACAGTTGACATGGCTTGTTTCAGTTGTTGGAAAGCCTCTTCTGCTTCTGTACTCCACTGGAAGGAATTCTTCTTGAGAAGATTTGTCAGGGGTCTACTGATAACCCCATAGGACTTAACAAATCTCCTATAATAGTCAGTTAAGCCCAAAAATCCCCTTAAGGCTTTTACAGACTTAGGAATGGGCCAATTGATCATTGCTTCAATCTTTGAAGGGTCAGTGGCAACTCCTCTTCCTGAAATTGATGTGTCCTAGATACTCCACTTTATCTTGCCCAAATGAACACTTGGACAATTTGGCATATAGTTGCTCCTTGCACAGTACCTCTAACACTTTTCTAAGATGTAATGCATGTACTTCTAATGAAGAGTTGTAGACTAGAATATCATCAAAAAGTACCAACACAAATTTCCTCAAAAAAGGTTTAAAAATGTGATTCATAAGACTTTGAAAGGTGGCAGGTGCATTAGTCAAGCCAAAAGGCGTGACTTTAAACTCATAATGGCCTGAATGAGTCCTAAAAGTAGTCTTATAGATATCAGCTTCTCCCATTCTTATCTGGTGGTATCCAGCCCTTAGGTCAATTTTTGAGTAGATGTAGGCACCATGTAATTCATCCATTAAATCATCTACCAAAGGAATAGGAAATTTATCCTTTATAGTCATCTTGTTTAACTCCCTATAATCAATACAAAATCTCCAACTTCCATCTTTCTTTTCACTAAAAGAACTGGGGAAGAGAAGGGAGAATGACTAGGCTGTATAGTACCACTAGAGAGCATTTCATTCACTTGTTTCTCTATTTCATTTTTTTTGGAAATAATTGTACCTGTAAGGTCTAATGCTGACTGGAACTGCTTCAGGTTTGAGGGGAATAAAGTAATCCGGCTTCCTTCTGGGAGGCAGTGCTTTTGGCTCAGCAAAGACCCTGGCAAATTCTTCCAATACTGATTTAATCTCCTCAGGTATGGCTTCTGTTACTCTTTCTTCCTTGGTTGTTAGAGTGAATAAGTGTGCCCACAATACTTGACCTTTCTTCAGTAGTTGCTTCACACCTGAAGCTGACATAGCTTGGAGACTTCCTTCTTCAGTATACCCTTTCAAATCCACCCTTTTTCCATTGACACTGACTTGGAGTCTGTACCCAATGAAGTCAAATAGTATAGGATTATGTTTTCTCATCCAGTCCCCACCAAGTACTATATCACACCCTCCAATATCCAACAACCTGAGTTTGTAATCAAATTCGACTCCTTGAACCTTCCATTTGAACTGAGGGCAGTAGTGATAGCTCATCAAATGACTACCATTGGCAGCAGTCACTCTCATAGGGGCAGCTTCTCTAAACACACACCCTAATTGTTTAGCAGTGTCACTAGCCACAAAGTTGTGGGTACTTCCACTGTCAGCTAGTATTATCAATCCTTGCTTCCCATACATTCCTTTAAGCTTGATTGAATTGGAAGTAATTGTACCTGATAAGACATTTAAACTAATGGCCTCATCAATCACCTCTTCATAAGGCTCCTCCAGCTCCTTAATCTCTTCCAAACTGGATCCTTCTACCACTTCTTCCTGTTCCGTGGTACTAGATAGAGTGTTAATTTGCCCATTCTTGCACAGATGACCTGGGAAATATCTGTCCCCACACTTGTAACACTCTCCTCTAGCTTTTCTAGCTTCAAACAGTTTGTTTCCAGGTGTAGGACTGTTATAATTCCCCTCTTTCTGTCCTATACCAGAATTTTTTACCCCTCATGCACTAAAATTAGTGTTGTACTGATTCCCTGGTCTACTACCCCCCCCCCCCCAATTTTCCTTTTCTGTTCATTAAATCCAACAATTCTTCCTTATGTCTAGCCTTCTTTACTGCCTGACTCAAGGAATAAGGATCTAACATTTTAACTGTGTGTCTAATTTCCTCCTTAAGGCCTTCAATGAAGAATCCTAAGAAGAATTCCTTAGGTATAGTAGGGTGTTTGATCAACACCCAAGCTTTAAGATCTTCAAACTTTTCAAGATACTCATTCACAGTCCCTATTTGCTCAATTCTTTTGAATTTCCCAAGTAAATTCAGGTTACTATTATCAGAATTATTAAATCTCTTACAAATTTCCTCCACAAAATCAGCCCATCTTACCACTCCCCTACTCAATTGATATGAGAAGTACCAAGACTCAGCTCTACCATTTAGGTGTAATACAGCAGTTTCTAATTTGTGTTGTGGATCTAATATGCCATTATAATGAAAATACCTCTCACATTTTCGCAGCCAAGATCTGGGATCACCTTCCTCGAAGTAAGGGCAATCAACCTTGTTGTTGTTCATGTGGAATTTGCCGCCAGAAATTCATGAAGATCCTTTCCCCTTGCTCTACCAGATCCAGAATCGTGAATTTCTACTGGTGCACTTCCCAAGAGACCATCCTTGTTGATGAATAGCTTCTCCATCATCACATCCATTTTGTGACCTAGAGCATCCATTTTTGTTTCATTAGTTTCCAATTTCTAATTTGTTTCAGTCATGTAATTCTGCAATTGTTGTTCTAACTTCTTCACACTTTCTTCTGTAACTTTAGCTCGAGTTTCCGTAATTGTCATGGTGCGAGGATCGAGCTCTGATACCAATTTGTAATGTACTAGAATTATAGAGAATTTAAAGACAGAGTTGAAGTATTTTATTGATATATGGATCCAGTTACACTCAAAGGGTACAATAGAATGTAATCTACAGCTAACTAATGAACTCTAATCAGCTGCTCCAATGGTGAATACCAGAATCATCCCTTGTAACTGCTCCCCTCCATTCTGTTATTTATTGTTTGACTAGTAACTAAATTGTAATTGGGCTACTAAATTGTAATTGGGTTGTGGTTTAATAAGAACTGTTGATTCTTCTACTTGGGCCTGTGATATACGAGTAAGGCCCAATATTGACTAAACCAATATAGGCTTCTTCTCTTCTTCGTATCTTCCCTAATTCATTTCTAGATTGTTCCACCGCCTCAGACATAACAAAGAGTCCCTTTCCATGTATTCAATTCTTCAGTGTTCCAACGATCTTTCTCTTTTGACAATTCAAAATCCATCAACCCCACTGTCAAAATTGTAGCACATGTGACTGGTAACTTAAGATGAAAAGGCTGGTAACTTTTTCCCTTCTTAAAAATCTATCACAAAATAGTGTATTTCTTCTGAAATTTATGATCCAAAATTTCAGCATCAAATCTGTTTTTCTTCAATTTTTGCTCTCTATGTTACTTTTTAGTTTTTAATAGGCAAAACCATTTTGGATCATCTTTTCAGTACATGCCGTCACCGATTTTTCAAGCCTTAGGTTATTTGGCTTCAATTTCTTGCTAATTTGATCACAAAATGGAAAAGAAGCAATTTTTTCAATAACTGCAGCAAAAGATCAACATCTTTTATCATTAGTTGGTAACGTCAATCCTTCTCCCCTTTTCTTCTAAGTTAGCTTTTTAAGATCTACTTCTAATGTGCTTGCTGTTGGAAAGACACTAACACAAACTTATGAATTTGGTAAGCTTTCTAAAGCAATACTAGCTATCTTAGATTAATTGCTCATTGTTTCTACTTTCTTACCACTTCATTAACATTAGTCCATTTCCTTTTTTTGTTTTTTGAATTTTTCCCTTAGATTTTGTTTCTCTTCTGTAATTACCCACATAGATTATTTACTTTTGCTGTTTCTTCAATGTATTTTCTCCTGTTTTGTGCTTTTTGTTGGTCTACTGGAATTTACTCTTGGTTGGTCTACCAGGATTAACTACAAATGATATGTGGACAACGAAAGTGAAGGAAAATAAAAGTCGTCTTAGAATAAGGTTTGAAATTCTTTTATGAAAATAATCATCTAAAAATAAATCTGCTAAGATGGTACGATAAGTTTGTAAAGATTTGGGTCTTAAAGTTTGTAAAAAGGTGGATGGGAAGTGATGTTGAGTCATATAATGCATTATAAATTTAAGATACATTTTTTGGATAACGGGTTAGTTCTTATAGTCATGTAATGAGTAAGTTTTGTATGTAGAATAAAGTGTGGGACCTCATCAAATAAAAAAGAAATTAAAAAAAAAGGAAAGGAAAAGATTTAGAAACAAGTTGCAATAACAAGAGAAACAAAGAAATTTACAAGTTGCAACAAGTTGCCAAAACTTGTTTTGGCCGGTTGCAAATTGCAAAAAGATAAACCATTCTGATTGGTCTATTTGTTGGCAAGTTTTGCTATAAATAGCAGGCTTCGTTCCTCAGTTTAGATACATCAAATCAGAGAGAGCGCAATAGAGCGTAGAGAGTAATCCACAGATTGTAGTCTGTGAAATAAATAGTGAGTGTGAGTAATATTGTAGTGAGATTTTAAAATAAAAAGTGTTATTTCTTTCGAAGTTGTAGTAGTCTTTTGATACTACTAAGTTGTAATATTATAGTGAAAATATTGCTCCACTTGGGTATTGTATTTTACCCCGTTAAAAGAGTTGGTGTCTTTGTTACTCTCTTGTGTTATTGTTATTTACCGTGGGTATTATTCCTGGGCGGGATTATTATTTTTTTATTCTCAACAACGTGGTATCAGAGCCATGGCGAGTAATGGTCCGCTGTCTTTTCAGTATCCCCGTATCACAAAAGATAATTTGAGAAATGGTGCCTACGTATGAAAGTCATTCTAGGCTCCCAGGATGTGTGGGAAATCGTAGATAGAGGGTATGCAAAACCCGATAATGAGAAAGCTCTGCCTCAAAATGAAAAAGACGTTTTGGCAAAGACAAGGAAGAAAGATCAACAAGCCCTCACGCTCATCCACCAATGTTTGGATGATGCCATGTTTGAGAAGGTGGCAGATGCTACCACCTCAAAGGAAGCTTGGGAGGTTTTACAAAATTCTCCTCAAGGAGTTGGTAAGGTGAGGAAGGTAAAACTTCAAACTCTAAGGGCTGATTTTGAAGTTTTAAAAATGAAAGAATCCGAATGCATTTCGGATTATTGTTCAAAAGTGAAGTCTGTTGTTAATCAATTAAGAAGATACGGGGAGGACATAAAAGATGTCCGTGTGGTAGAAAAGATCCTTCGCACTTTAACACCTAAATTCGATTTTGTGGTGTGTGCTATTGAAGAGTCTAAAGATTTAGACTCAATGATGGTGGAGCAATTGGAGGGTTCTTTACAGGCCCACGAAGAAAAGATCAAAAGGAGACAAGAAGTGTCAGTTGAGCAACTTCTTAAAACTCAGGAATCCTTCAAGGATTATGGAGATGAAAAAAGTTATCGAGGGAATGGACGAGGACGAGGCCGTGGCGGTCATGGACGAGGAAGAAGTAACGGTAAAAACTTCAACAATGAAGCTAAAATCCACCAAACACTCAAAGGTCGTGGTCATGGACAAAGAGGAGGAAGAGGACGTGGCTACTACCAAGAAAATAATGGACAAAGGTATGACAATCAAAAATTGAGTGTTATAATTGTCATAAATTTGGCCATTACTCTTGGGAATGTCGTAGCAATGTTGAAGAAAAAGCTAACCTTGTTGACGACAAGAAAGAAAAAGTTGAGTCAACATTGTTGATGGCACTCAAGGAAGAAGACAGGGATGATTGCAGCTCGTGGTATTTGGACAATGGAGCAAGCAATCATATGTGTGGGTGCAAAGAAAAGCTTGTGGAGATCAATAAAACGGTGAGAGGTAATGTATCATTACAAGAAAGTATGGAATTTGCCACAAATTTTTTTGTTGCCATATATTGAATATTGTTGCAAAAAGTACTTTTAGCAACAACAGAAAAATTTTTGCATGTCGTTGCAATAAATGCTGATGGGAAAAGTTTTTGCAACAACAAAAGATGTTGTTGCACAAAGTTGTCGTAACGCAACAAAGAAACTTGTTGCAATAAATTATTTTTTGGTCACACAATTGTGGCTTATGAAAATATTTAGCAACAATAATTATTGTTGCGATAGATTATTTTTTTCGCAACAATATTACTTGTGGCAAAAAAAATTGGCGGGAGGGTAGTTAATAATCTGTTATAAGACTTTTAGCAACAAGTATTGTTGTGGCCATAAAATCACTTTTTGCCAACAATATTATATTTTTTGTTGTACAACTAACAACAACAAATATGTAGTGGCTACATAAACAATTCACATTTTATATCTTTTAAAACATCACAAATGTATATATAAAAATTAATATTTGATATATATTTGCAAAAGTCACTACAACTGAAGTTTAGTGTATTTACATACTTTCAAAACCCACCACTAAAACATATATTTTTACTTAAAAAAAGAACAAGAACATCTCTAGAGTCATAATTTCTAATCAAATAACAACTCCAAAAGTAGATTTTCTTCCGGTAGCTTGTACATCCATGAACCATATTACCATCTATATTGGTTTACTCATGCTCATCCTACAAAAGAATATAAATTATATAGTTATATCTTTTATAAATAAAAACTATAAAGTACACAAGTATGGATCAAAAGAGAGAATAAGATAGAGAAATGAGCAAGAATGAGTGAATCCATTGTCTGGCAGATGGTTATTTAAGAGAATCTTGTTAGGTTAACCACATAGTAATAGTAGTTGATCCATTTTTACAAGCCTATAACCGATATAGAAGAGAGGAAAATGTTCTTCAAGCCCACATTGTAATCTGGTATTTACTGTTAAATAATCAAATTTTGACTATATCCTTTATAGTAACTTTTCTTGACAGATATTACACAACTGTGCTCACCGGTAGAGAAACTATTAGTATCCATAGATGCTCCCTGACTTCATGGCCATGGGAGTGGGAATGCTATCTTCAGACATATGTTCGGTTTCTAAAAATATACTTCGTCATTAGTTAAGCTTGTCCGCATGTTTTGACTACCCATAAGCTAGTAGACTAGTTAACAGTGGTGGTATTAGACTTTCTTAATGTACACTACTTTGCTAGAATCAGAAAACTGAGAGGCTTCATTGTGAGACCAGAATATAGAAGAAGAGCGCTAACTATGCACTATAGATTTTGCATATCGCTACAAAATCACATTAGATATGGCTTCTTTATTTTCTTCTACTTTTTTTCTCCAAAGTATAAGATATTCTTTGTATATAACTTTAGTCTAGAATCTGTTAAAAGCCCACGATCAAATAACTTTTCATTTTGATATGATATGACTGAGAACCAAACCTTGAAAAATCCATTGGAGCCTATCCATGTTTTTGGCTACCTTTTTAATATGGTATTTTTGGAATTGCTGATATGTTTACCTTAGTGGGAATGCTTGAGTTTTTCTACAAGGAAGCACCAGCAGGAATGAGGTCACTGTCTATTTCTTTTACATGGATTTCACTCTCTTTTGGGTACTACTTGAGCAGTGTTTTTGTGGATATTATCAATTCAATGACCAAAAGATTTTCACAAAGAAAGAAAGGATGGTTGGCTGGTCAAGATTTGGATCAGAATAATTTGCAACTTTTCTATTGGTTCTTGGCCATTTTAAGCTGCCTAAACTTTATAAATTATCTCTATTGGGCATCTTGGTACAAGTACAAATCAGATGGCAAGTTGGACACTAAGCCCAAATCAGAGGACACTAAGAACAAGCATATCACCTTTCAAAGGTCCAAGATCAAGCAACTTTTCTTTTTGAATTGAGAAGAATACAAATATGACAGCGAACAATATCAACCAAAGAATTTACCTTTACAAGAGTTAGACAGAGTTTTCTTACCGTAATGTCATCCATATGTCTTGAACAACTTGCACCATCCGAACCACTTAAATTAGAAAAAATATTGAGAATTGCAGCAGGAACTCCATTCTGTTAAACATAATAAAACTACATAACTTAATTTGTTTTACAAATCAATGGAAAGGAATGATATAGGAACGAGGAAGAAACAAAAATAGTGCGACAAGAGTAATTTATGGATTCGACTATCTTTAATATCCCTTCATATCAGGAATCCCCAGCCTACTGCCTACTGCCTACTGCATTCAACAGCTATTTAAAAATTTAACTTTCATCCGTTTTCCTTATCTTGTCATGGTTTATTATACTGCTCAATCATTTGTATCCTCAATGGAAGCCTTGCCACTTATGTAGATTCTGACCCACCTCAGTTTTACTACGCTTCACCTTCTCCGGATAGTTCTTCTTTCAGTATTGATGGTCAAAACCTTACTGCTCTGCAACACCCTCCTACATCACCAGCTCAATTTATAAATCTTGGGCCTGATGGACATTTACGGGCTTACCAATGGGAGATGAAAGTATTTAAGTGGAAAGAGGTATCAGATCTTTTGACACCATATGGCATGATGGACATTTACGGGAACTGTAGGTACCCAATGGTGTGTGGAAGATATAGCATTTGCACAAATAACAGGCAATGTACTTGTCCGCCAGAAAGAAACTTCTTCAGGCCATTTTTGAGATGAAACAAAATCTTGGATGTTCACAGCTGACATCCATTTACTGCAACTCCTCGCAGTATCATAGTTTCATAGAGCTCAGGAATACCACATATTTTTCATTTGAGTTCACTGATGAACTAAATTCTAGCATATCACGGCTTGAGGGGAAAAAGTTGGAAGGTTGCAAAAGGGCCTGTCTGAGCATCTGTTCCTGCAAAGCTGCTGTTTTCAGATATGATTCGGATGGGGCTCGAAGAGAGAGCTGTTTGTTACTGAATGAAGTCTTCTATCTCATAGACAATGAGGGTGGAACGGACACGAGAGTATTTCTTAAGGTGCAGAATTCCTCAAAGTCACACGATTCCTCTAAGGCACATAATCAACCTCCAATTATTTCTGGAGGAAAGAAACCAATACCTCTCAGAGTGATAATAGGATATACTCTTGCAGCTTTCTTTGGGATAATTTTAAGCATCAATACATGCGTTGTTCTTTTCAAAAAGAGGACACATGAGTCCAGCAAGGCTGGGGATCTTATGGATCTAGAGCCAAGCTTACCGGGAATGCTAACTCGCTTCTCTTACAATGAGTTAAAAATAATAACAGAAGATTTCAGCACAAAGCTAGGGGAAGGAGGATTTGGCTCTGTATATGAGGGAACACTGAGTAATAGCACCAGAATAGCTGTGAAGCATCTGGATCGTGTAGGTCATGTGATGGAATCATTCTTAACAGAAGTAAAGCTAGTCGGTGGAATTCACCACGTAAATTTGGAAAACTCTTTGGATTTTGTGCTGAAAAGAGCCACCGACTTCTTATCTATGAGCACATGGTAAACAGATCACTAGATAGGTGGATTTCACATAAAAATCCAGAAAATGGGCTTAAGCAGAGGGTGTAGAAGCATTCACTGTTCAATCATAGGGCATAGGAATCATCCGTTGTAACAGTATCACGACACAAGACAATGAAAATGTCAGCCCAGACGAGATCTATTTTACAATTTTATACCACATTTGAGAGAAGTAATGACCCTATAGTCCCAAGGACAAAAACATCAACTGACATGTCGATTGTATCAGCATTGCATAACAACTGCTGCCAGCAGTTATTAAGCTAGACTGAATTCCCGAAATTTTCAAGAGATAAACAAGTAAATAGTACGTAAATAGGCCATGATGCCCATAAATATCACATTGTTAACACTTCACAGTAACCACTATCACAACCACATGAAAGAAAACCAACAAAATAACACCAAAACCATCTATAACTTCAGCAAACATCATTGAGATTGTGGACATTCAGCATGCTGCAACACATATTAACTTCAGGTCTTTTATCGTATGCTAACTCGGTTTCTACGCCGGCTAATTTTGTATAGTCATGTATACCAGTTAACTTTTTTTTTAACCAAACAGCATTCAAGATTTCAGCTGTAGAGTGTGGAAATATAGCTTTTTGTACCTATAAGAAATAAAATGCTGGTCTTATTTATTTTTTTGCAGAAGAGAATAACAAATTCAGTTAATGAATTAAGAGGTGCTACAAGGAATATTTTTGTACACTTAATAATATTGCAAGATGCAGAAACATCAGCAGTACCACCACCACCACCAATTCAAGCCGTAGAGAATGAAAAGAATACCACAAAAGAGGAAAGTGATGCTACCACTTTTATTGTTGTGTAGTTTGACGAAATATTTTAGGACCAAAAGCAAGTAATTGAAATACCTCATTACTTAGTATATGTGATGCTAGTGCCACCATGCTCTCTTTCAATAGTTTTTGGTCACGCATTATGGCTTCTCAATTTTTTCGCTCTTCCTCAAGCTTAATCTTTACTTCCTTTAGCTGGTATTCTACACTCTCTCGTTTACGACGCTCTTCTTCTGCCTCTTTTTGTTGTGCTTGTAGTTTCTCTTGAATTTCATTCATGGATCTCTTACTTGTTGAATTAACTCCCAAACCTTGACCACGGCAATAACTTAACGTTTCTCCAACAACTTTCACAAATGCAGCATTAACAACTGGGTCCAAATCAATATCTTCTTCAATTTCTTGAATTTGTTCAGCAATATATTCTTTCACCTTATCCTACAAAAAATTATATAGGCTTTAACTTTTAATATTTATTACTACGGACTCACATTCTAGGAATAAGGATAATAGTCTCGCACGTACATGTAACTCAGCAGATGCATCATTAACCCAATGTCCATTCTTCATGTGAGTCAATTCCCAAAGTTTCTGCAAGTTTGGCTCTTTCCCAGTGCTTGTATCTCTCTACCAAAATAAATCAAATTATGCTATAAAATTAAAAATAACCAAAATTCGTCAAAATAAAGATGCATGTTACCTGTTCAAAAGATATTGCCTGGAAGGATTTTCTGCCGCAAATATGATTCATTTCTTGTTTTGCCTTATTGGTTTTGTTTCGATCACTCATTCTCTGTATTGAATTTGAATTTGTAAATATATTTTCTGATGAATTATAAGAAGTAGAATAAGAAAATAAATAATTTACAAGGTTAAATCAATTTAATTTTGGCGTATTCCTAATTAATTACCTTAAAAGTATCAGAATCGAAATATTCAACCAAGAATTTCCATTCAGCTTCACTAACATCGGTTGGCATGTTCTGCAAGCGTTCCTCCTTTGTGGCATATTTTTTGAAATGATCATGGAGCCTACTACGACGATATCTATATAAATTATTAGATGTTTTAAGGATAGTATCTCGATTGTGTTGTGTGTCTGGAAGTTGGAAGGTGTCCTGAATTCAGAATAAACTTAAGTGAGCTTACTTAAAATAGAGTTGTGATTGTCTGCCAATGAACCGAGGACTGTTTCAGAGTCAACTTCTCTATATTTGTATACTTACATTGAGAGTTTGCTTATGTTTACTAAACCAACAAGAATATTCTAAGGGAATAGAGTGAATTACCAGCATATGAGCAACAATCCTATCTTTTGCTACATCAGGAACTTCCTTCCAATTCTTGACATCATGCCTAGCGTTATGCATAACTTTAACAGAGAGCTCAGTAATGAAATCATTAGCTCCAGGACCTACTGTTCGATCTGGTGGAATAATCACCTTCAACTTTCCACTGTCACTATCTTTGCGTTTCTTTTGGATTGAAAGTCCTGTTGTCTTCCCTCTTCCTTTTCTCTTTTTACCTGCAGCTATATATGAAAATATTTAGATGTATAGTAAACATAACATATACAATGATGCAATGGAGCAGTTCCAATGGAACAGTTCTTGGAAAAGACACTATTGATGCAATGGTTTTGATTCGTGAAGGGGTTCTGAGTACTGATGCTGCAGCTGTTTCAAATTGTGAAGTGGTTAGGAGTACTGCTGCTGGTGTTATTGAAGATTCAACAGCACCAAATACTACAGCCCCAGTTTTTCCTATAGAAGATGCTTTAAAGTTAGATAAGGGGCCACCTAAATCTTCACGAGATGTCCCTGCCTCTACTGTTTTTGCAAGAATGTACTTAGCTACTGCTGGTGCATTACAGGAAGTTGTCGATCGAGCAAAAATAAGTAAGGTACCTGGTGATGTGAAGCAAGATAAGTTAGATGCAGGGGCAGTAGATTGTGCAACAATGTTGCTTGGGAGGTACACCTCTGTGGGATCAGATTTACACAACTTTAATAGGGCTGGATTTCAAGCTAGTACAGCTGCACTTCATAAGGCTGTAAAACCAGCAGGTGGTACATCTAATGATGCAATTGAAAATGAAAAAAATATTGGGCTGATTGATACTACAAAGCATGTGCAGGGGCAAGGTTTTGCTGGTGTGAGTGTTTTGGATAACACAACTGATGCTACACTTGATAAACAAACAGTTTTGAAAGGTACTACTGTGCAAAATGAGGGGCAAGAACATGAAGGTAAAGCACAGGTTGGGCAGAAAAGACTTCTGTCAAGCACAACCGGTGCAACTACAACAGGGACTGGGAGGTGTGAAGCTATAGATCAACCAAAACAGAAAATAGCAGCAGAAAACATCGTTTGTACTAATTCTTTTGATGCCTTAACCATTGAACAAATAGATGGAGAGAATCATAATGGTAAGAATTTCGAACTAGAGTGTGGTGATACAGCTTCAAAAAATGGAGATAACACCTTCCAAGACAGAAAACAACTCCAAAAGTGAGGAAGCAGCAGCAGATTTCAAACGCTGCATATGGTTGACAGAATCAGCAGCAAGCAGTAGTGCACCGATCGCTTAGAAATAGGAGATCTCCAAGCGTGCAAGAACAGGTACCAAACTCTAATTGCAAGCAAGGAGTGGAAGTGAATAGAGAGGAGTGTCGTAATTCAGTAACACTCGAATTGGTTGAAACATCTGGAATAAAGCCTTCAGATCGAGCTAAGTGATGAACCAGTCCAGATTTTAAACAAGCTTCATGAGGCAATTAGCTCTACGTGAAAGTTATGGGTTGACCAAACAGAAGAGTATGAAGAAGGTGAAGATTATGTTGGTGATGCCCAGGAACAAAACACTCAAGAAACTTGTTCGTCAACACGACGAGATGATAACACAAAGGAAGGCGCAATAACTGTTTTTGAGCAGAGATTTTATAGGGCAGAATTTTAACAAATAAATTAACTTACCTGGCAGTAGATTTGAGATTACATCAACAGTTTCATCATCATTAGAAACATGCACATCTGTCATCATTATATGCTGCAACACATTAAAATAAATTATATTATTGGACTAGTCGAATGTACAAGTGACAGAAGCAAAATACAAGGTAGCACAACTTTAGAGAACATTACAAGGTAGCAGATAAACTAGCTAAATGTGGAATCAATATGCAACTCACTAATAGTACCAACATAGTTCATTTTGCAGTTCCTCGTTTATTTGCCTTAAAGGTACTAGAGGCAGACAAATCAGAAACCACTTATGCAAGAAGCATAACCATATGAATGATGCTAAAATATGTAATGTTTATCTTTATTATATAAACATTATCTTTTGCAGCCAAAAAGAATAGCACAAGGTGGAGGCTGGCACTAACATTCCCTTACTTTTCTTTCACAATATGCCATATTATTTGTGGCTATGTATTTTCTGAATTTTCTTGTACCAAAGATGCATTTGCATATGTGAACAACATCCAAAGGCAGTTAATAGTGTATCATCTACTGGTCAGAAGCACAAGCTTACATATGTATCCCAGCTCAGAATATGACAAGAGAACACGGATAAAAAGGGGAACATAAGACCGAAAACCAAAATAAATTATCAAAGTGAAATAGTCAAACCCTGCTCACAGACTACAACACAATAAAGTTCTCCTGTAATAAATCATCCAATGGTAAAGAAACTAATTAAATTTGCCAAGGCATTACTTACAACTAGCTTAGCTGGTTGAAACATAAAACTACATTCAGCTCATTTCCTAGCTGATAATCAAACTCCTTAATGGAGTAATTGCACCAGACCACTTTCGCTACCTAAAGGAATACAAAAAGATTCAAAGACAAAGATGCAAATGCATAAACCATCATATAAAGTTACGACCTTTGAGGTAGTAATCAACATCCAATCATTCAAACAAAACTAATATCACTAAACAAATTACAACCAGTCATCATCCTAAATTTCATCAAACTCATCAGAAAGATATTCTTCATTTGCACTGAAGTCATCTCCATTTTCATGATCAGATTCATCAAAAGCTTCTAAGTCTACTTCTTCCTCGTTACTTAGAGAAGGTGCATCTACACTCACTCCATCAATGTCTTCTCTTTGTATTTTAATAACATCATTGTCGGACTCTATTTGAAGATCTACTTCTCCTCTTTCAACCAAGTCAATCAGTTGATACGGCTCCGTTTCATCTTCTTGTTCGGGTAAATCAAACAAATTCCGTGGTCTTACTCTTACCACTGCATGCCAATTCTCATTTTGATCGTGTTTAACATAATACACAGATTGTGCTTGTGAGCCTAAAATGAATGGATCATTTGTATAATGGAGTCGTGTCACATCTACACATATGAATCCATATTTATCCCTTTTATAACCTCTACTTTGACTACGACCTTGAGTAGGAACTTCAAACCAGTCACATTGGAATAATATGACTGAATTATTATCCAAATATTGGATCTCTAAAATATTTCTTATCTTTCCATAATAATCAACATTTCCTGTATGTTCATCACTTTTCAAGACTACACCACTATTTTGAGTTTTCAAACCTAGCTCAGATTTCATTGTTACGAAACCTAAACCCATTCATGATATATCCATTATGGCAATAAGCACGAGGATCTGGACGTCTTGCCAAAGCTAGTAATCCACTGGTAATTCGGCCATCGCCATTTTCTTTTAACTGTACCACCTACAATATTTTAATTACAAACTCACAAACATTAATACTATTTAAAAAATATAATTTACAAATTATCCTAAATAAAGATAAACAAGCATCAAATGATATAATTTACCTTTTTCTCAAACCACAAAGGAAATTCCTCCTTGTGCCTCTTGAAAACATTTCTAGTATTCTCGTTCCTTAATATTTCTAAGTGTTGCCTATGGAATGTGAGCATTTAATAAAATCAAAAAAAATATTATTAAAACATTGTTGTTGAGATTTCCATAAAAAAAAAGGATGTAAACTAACTTAAAGGTATCTTCCTCAATCCAAGGTCTGACTTCTTCACAATTTTGGAGGATATAAAAATGAGCTTGATTGATTTCATGAGTGCTCAAGTTTTATCCAAGTACCCCTACTAAAGGCTTACCACGACAATTAAATACAGAGAAGCCATTTGGTTCGATATTAGAAGAATCAAAATTTCTATCCGGACGACTTTGCTTTGTCTCCATATCAGTCAAATATTTGGAACAGAATATCATGCACTCCTCAGCCAAAGATATCCCTCGGCAATTGATCCTTCCGGGCGAGCTTTATTCGTACATAACCTTTCAAGAGTGCGCAAAATCTATGACGTAAAAATAGATCAGTTTTGCAACAAATTTTAACTAGCGAGAGCAACTAAAGGACTAGTTCTAGAGGAACAAGAATCCAACCTTTCAATGTAATACATCCATTCGAAACTATTGAACGAGGACCACCCAAACTTTGCCTCCATGTGCCAAAATGAATTGCCAAATGAACCATAACATCAAAGAACGTTGGCAAACACACACGTTCTAATTTACAAATTGTCACCCGTATACTTTATCTAGTTGATCTGCTAACTTCTCACATACAACTCTTTAGCGCACAAATCGGTAAAGAATAATGACAGGTCAACTAATGGCATATGCAGTCCTTGGCAAAAATCCCTTGATGATAAGTTGGGAAAAATCATGCGTTGAAAAAAACATGGTGGTCATGACTTTTAAGTCCGAAAATTCTTGCTTCCTTAATATTGACACAACGACTAATGTTAGAAG